TAGTGTAAAACAAGAATTTTGACTTGTCCAACCAACTTAATTCAAAATCGAAGGTCTTCAAGTATAATTTTGTCTCCAAAATGTGTAACCTAGATATAAAATGAAGCCCAAATGAGAATATTGCAAAAGTGAATATATATATATATAAGATACCAAAAGCCAATGCCTACAATCTGAGAAAACTCAAACATATTATGTAACAGTCAATAATTTAGAGATGACACTAACAATTATACTTGTGTGGATATTTCATCGCTACAATATTATAAAGTATGCATAGAATCCAAAGTGTAACAGTAATAGGAATCCAACATATAGAAAATGAAACAAATTAAGCACACTTGATGTTACTTTAGATTCAATGTGAGTTTGGTAAAATGAAGGTGTGTGATACTAACACTAATACAACAAAATCACAAAGGTACCGTAATTTCGTCAAACTCCGTGATTATTTGAAATATTGATTTATAATATGCAAATGCAATGCTTCATTCACACCTGAACTATTCTCAAACAGGACAGTCCAAACTAGCAATGCATCTCAAAAGATTATAACCTTCTGCTTCCAAAATATTATTGGTATAAAAGGAACCAAGAGGTACTTTTAGCAGTAAAATTGCAATCAGAAAACAAATTAACTTAACTTCAATAACATTATAAATGCAAAACATATATTCTGAGAAAAACATGAAAATATCAATGAACCGTCAAAAGAACATTGAGACAAACAAAACAGAATCATAGCGAATTAGATGACAAAGCTAACAGTCCCACTAGAACAAGTTTAAAGAACACAAATGAGCACAAAATTAACAAACATTACATACGAAAACCAAAGTCTAAACTCATGCCATAAATACAAAACTGAATCACAATCTAAACATGAATACAATGCCGATTTCAAACAAATTCGAAGCCAATTAACAATTAAACAATGCAAAGGTAATCATGAAAGATTAGCAAGGCATACAAACTCAAACTTCTTGATCACACAGATTTGAATGCAAATAGCATAGCCACGTATTATGTTTCGACCAACTTTCTAAACTGACTCAGAACAAAGCAAAGTTTGGTGTTCATATTTAATACAAACATGATTCTCAGAATAAACGTATCAATGCAACCAAAGCGGTATTCATTTTTAGCACGAGCATGATAATGATACGGAATACATCATATCTCGACACCAACACAACATATAATGTTAACAAAAAATTTCACAGATTTAAACCAGTACATCAAACTGAGCAGAATTCAACATGCAATTTTTCAACATAACAGTTCATAACTCAATAATAAGATCAAAATCGACAGAAGCATCATTTCCACAACATAACAATTTAACACAACTAAGAATGAAATTGCAACTTACCAACAATGGTGGAGGATATTGTGGAAACAGAAGCTTGAAACAAAGACGAGAGCATCGATTCCTGGCTTCAGTCGGAAGGAGCGTGAACGAGAACGGAGGGGTATGCTACTGGGAGTGTGAGCGGAGATTTGACGGAATCAAAGAATGTTGGAGAAAGATGGTTGAACAGATGACGGAGGGAGTGTGAATCGTGACAGCTGATGGTGATTCACGATGAAGTTGGATTGAGGGATTTGGAAGGTGATTACGATAGATGCTTGGAGATGAAAACGTTGAGAACTGTTGAGAGACAGAGATGAAAACACTGAGAACAGTAGCAGAAATAATCGTGTTTTGTTATTTTAGGGTTTAAGAGTTTTAATTTTAGAATTTTGAAAAGGCAGCGCTTTTAGAAAGCGCTGCCTAAAGTATAGGCATTACCAGCGCTTTTAATGACAAAAGCGCTTTCTAATATATGCCCTATAGCAGCGCTTTTAGAACACACTTTCGTATTTATGCCCTATAGCATCGCTTTGAAGAAAGCGCTTTCTTTTCTATGCCCTTTAGCAGCGCTTTTTATTAATTTAGTTTATAGTTTTAATTTTTAACTTATAGCAACACTTCTTGAAATGGGCGATGTCTATGGTGCGCTGTTATTTTTTATTTTTGCAGCGCTTTCTGAAAGTGCTTTCTTATTTGTGCCCTATATCAGCGCTTTCAGAAAGCGCTTTCGTATCTATGCCCTATATCAGCGCTTTCAAGAAAGCGCTTTCTTTTCTATGCCCTTTAGCAGCGCTTTTTATTAATTTAGTTTATAGTTTTAATTTTTTAACTTATAGCAGCGCTTCCTGAAATGAGCGTTGTCTATGGTGTGCTGTTATTTTTAATTTTTGGCGTAGTGTATATGATTATCCTAGTGAGCTAACTAAAGGATAAGCAACTTATCCCAGTACTTAACTAGAGAAAATTTGATGTATCCTAACGACCCTGATAGAGGAATGTGATATTATTTTTTTATATTTTCAATTATGGATATTTGATTTATGCATGGGAGGATATATTGATTTACCTTGATGACTTATCTTATAATCAGATCAAGTTCATGAGTATTGGTATGTTGATCTTAGAATGTGTATTGAGAAGCTAGCATTGAATGAGTGTGAGTTATCTCAATCACAACATATGACTTTGATGATACGCTTAGGCATGCTAGGGATCAGAGTCTCCTGAATTATAGTTGGATATTCGATGATTTGTAGGCCACACTTGATAGTTGAGTACTAACATGTCTAGTCCACGATCTACGAGCTATATGGGGTGGTTGTACTCTTGATTTTATACTCAAGTGTTAGGGATTACGTATGATTAAGATCCTGTGAGTGGTATTAAGATTGATGATATGAATGTTATGTTTATGGGAGGGACCCTAGTGAGTTGTACCCCATGTGACTTATCCAAGGGTTATATGGTTATTGGGGATTCTTTAGATTCTATAGAAGATGAATAGGTCATGATGCATAATGTCAAATGATTCACAAATACATCACGACCTTAGAGTTGGACTCGCGTGTGAATGAATCAGAATTGTGCAGTTCCATGACATCTCTATAGACTCTAGGATAAAGATTTATTCTAATGGTCGGATTTAAAATATGTGAGTTATCCTGATGCATTATGCAATTGTGTCTTGACGAATGTTTTAAAAACGTCTCTATAGACCCTAGGATAAAGATTTATTCCAATGATCGGGTTTAAAATACGCGAGTTATCCTGATAAATTATGCAATTCTGTCTTGATCAATGTTTTAAAAATCGGACCGAACCATCCGGCTTAACCGGTTGGACCTAGAACCGGAGGTGACTACGACCCGATCAGCCTTGTAAAATCGCAGATGGGTCAAAACCAGAATAAAACCCAAAAAAATTGAATTGAACCGTTCTAAACCATTTAAACAAAGAATCGGAATCGGTTTTATAAAATTGTCTGATTCATTGAAATGACAGTCATTGACTAATTTTAGTATATTTCATTAAAATAATTAATATATTAACATCAATACTTAAAACATTTTCCTTCACAAAAAAAAACTCTTTTTTAACACAAAAAGCAACAAAAATTTCTAAATTATAATATATTATAATTTTGTTTCTTTAAAAATACTATTATATTGTGTAAATATTTCACCATTGATCTCATAGTATTAAGTTTGTAATAGATTTTTAAAATATTAATTTTATTAATTTATGAACATATGATTATGTGAATTATCCATGATATTTAATTATATTTTTAATTTATTTAATAAATGATTCGATCGTAGATTTAATCAATTGAATCAAATAAACTTTAAATTGAAAATCTTATAAACCTTCATTCCGATTTTTAAAATATTAGTCTTACCCAAATAGAAGGATAGTGAAAAATTCAATAATTTAATTCAAAAACCCACTTAAATTAATATCTCACAGCATGTCCTTCAAAAACCCACTGAAATCCTTGAATTGGATTGGCATCTAATTATTATTAATGGTGGGTCCGAAACTTTTTGAAAATTTTAAATTGATCTATAAATTTCAAAAATTGTAAATTAGTCTTTAATAACTTTAAAATTTAATAAATAGTCTCCTCAAATTTGTAAATTAATCTCTATTTTCCAAATTTTAAATTTAGTCAAAAAATCTTACAATTATTAAAATGACTAAAAAAAATGATAATGAATAATTATAATACTATATCAAAAAAATTAATGGAAAAGAGAATTCAATTGAAACATATGAATTAAGTATTAACAAGAATACCAAATTTCCTTAAAATTTTGTTAACCCTCATTCAAACACACCACAATATATTGTTTTTGTTAATTATCCAATTTGTAAGAAATTTATATTCGATAGTATATAATTCGACAGAAGGTAAATAAAATGTAGTTAAAAAATATTTAAAAGCCTTGTCGATTAACCCCCCTTTTTTCCACTTACATATAAGTTGCAAAAGATGCAATTTATACTCCCAATTCACAATTCCAATATTCAAACTTCCATCACTATTTTCCATCATCGTGGCCAAACTAAATATATATTTATTAGAATTTTTTCATGTATGTATCCTACACATAATCCATAAAAAAAAACTTCTTAACTGCAGCGTAATCCATTAATAAAAAGGCCTATCTATCTACTTGCATTATACAGCAGAGTCCATGTCATTGAAACACTAACAAAAGGTGCTATGCAAAGTCGTCTTACCATATAACAATTTAATAAAGTACACAATAAACAAGACTTAATAACAACCTTGCCACTCCTATAACCTTAAGATGGGTTTCAATCAATCGCCATAATGATTTGTAAAATCAATTCCGCATTGCTATAACTACTCATCCAGATCCTTGTCATTTCCTGCCATGTTATGCTGCCATATATATCCCTGTTTAACTATAGTAAACTGAATTATGACACTGAGGAAACTAGCAAGATCAAAATGGTAGTCACAATGTAGAATCGATTTTACAAATTGTTATGGTTATGACTGAAAGATTTAAAAGTTTAGGACATGATTAAAGCCTGGCCTAAAACTTATAGAAAATGTAACTCAGCCCATAAAACAATTTCTCCAGTGAATTGATGATTAAACACCTCTTGAAAGTCATTATTGATGAGCATTCAGCAGCGCTCTATATACCATATCAATGAACTGATTGTCCTGCCATGGAGCCAAAAAATAAATAAATTAGAAAATGGGAGGAAAACCAAGAAAAATAAATAATGTTAATATATGCTTTTTATTAGGGAATAGAACATTACAGGACAATACAAATTTATCGTCAAAATATCATAAAAAAGTACCAAGCAAGTGAACTAACCTGAACGAGCACCAGAAGAGCATCCCGGACCTTTTCTCTAGAAATAACTGGAGCATAGTTTGGAAGGGGAGAAGAACCAGGAGTTAGTGAAGGTGGTGGAGTCGGAGGCGGAAATGGCTGTAGCATTGGAGTACCATAAGGACGCTGTACTGTACCAGTAGGATGAAGCGGAGGAGCAGTAGATACGGATGAAGATACAGGGGGTAACATCATTGATGCAGAAGAAGGGGGAGGAATAAAAAAAGAAGGCTTCACAAGATTTGTGGCCCGGCTGCTGATGTTGATGGACTCTGGAGCATCATGCTGGGGAATATAAGGAGATGTTGAAAGAGTTGGTATCTGCAAGGTTGGCAGAGCGGGTGTAGCAGCATGAGTTGGCACAGAAGAAGAAATTGAGGCAGAAGACTGGTAAGGTTGTCCGGTGATTGGAGCATTTGAAGTATTTCCAATAGCCATAGCTGCCTGCAATAATAAAGTATCAAGAATAATCGGCCTGGTCGGAACCAAATAACAAATGTTTATCAATCAATTTTTTGTACTAATATCAATGTGCTGAATTATGAATAATCAGGAGTAGTAATGCTAAAAAATGAAAATGATCATAAGTGGAACCCCATAGAAAATGTGTGTAAAAATGGACAGGGAAAGGAGTTCCAATTCAAAACATTGATCCAAAAACGAAGTTAGTGTGTAATGTCACAAATACTAAAATCAGTAGATGCATTGAAAGAAACAAGAATTAAAGACATATTTGGAATTAATTTTAGTCTTGTAGTTTCCAATCAGTCAACCTATCGAGTATGCCTTTGTTAATTCAATTCCTTTATTCTCCAACAACAGCAAGAAGCAGAGTAGACTATTAGGACATAGCAGAAAATGTTTAACTTTTACATGAATATAGTTAAAGATTAAAAAATGGGGAGCACTAAAATTAAGTATGAGGGAACCGAAGGACACAATCATGATAAGCATGCAAGATATAAAACCATTTCAAGAAAGTTAACAAAGACGAAAGGATATAAAGGTTGTTGTAGTAAATAAAAAGAAGCAAAGAAAATTGTTCACAATGGTACGTACACTGAAGAAATTTATAAAGGATGGATCATCGGGAACATCAGCTACATTGGAAGTAGTTGATGATGATGGCTCCAGAGGACCATCCATGACTGCCATAGTTGGTACTGCTTCCAGTTCCTCAAACTCACTGCAATAAATGTAAGCAAGGCGTCATTACCTGAATACATAGTATACAGAGTGCAGAAGTATGTATACCCAATTTATCTACTACAGAATAATCACTAACTGTTGATGCAGAAATCTCGATGGGGATAATAAAAAATTTCTAGGGATAAAAAAAGGATAGTAAGAGATTATCCAAAGCATAAAAAACAGAAAGTAAAAAGAAATATAAGACTGCAACATGGTGGCCCGTATTTCTGAATAACAAAGATGGGAACTCCCTTGGAAAAGCAACATCAGAAAGAAATCCACAGAAAAAACAAAACCAGAACTCTGTATTGTTAACAGCAAGCAATCTGGGCAATTTTATACAAATGACACAAAGATAGACAAATTAAGGAACTTATCCCATTTCCCATTATCCCATTGAAGTAGAATTACATGAGATAGAGTTCAGACAGAACATGCAAAAGAAACATGCAACTAAGAGATAATCCATGATGGATATGAATATGAGGTATGTAATAGAAGAGTTGAATGGGACAGGGCTAAGAAACATAATACTTTGGATTAAACCAGCCCCACCATTCATGGGTTCAGGTGTTGCTAGAAGCACATTATTACCTCTTTGTAGTAGACACCATTGATTTCGTAGGCACCTTGGTATATGCATTAAGGATCCTGAAAATTGATCAAATATGAGTGAATATAAAGATAGGATGAGCAGATGCACATGTGAGCCCTTTGAGGTGGGAATTTAATGATGATTTTATCAAATTCCAAATCAATCTAGACTGTACTAACATCATTGACGAAACCCATCGCTGACTATAAAATGTAATATGTATACCTTTCTAAACCGTTACTAAGAAATTTGTATTTTTGTATGCCTTCCTAACAACAACAACAACAATGTATATAATTCAACGCTCTATCTGCCCACTAGTAATATCTTCCATTTCACAAATAACTTACTAGGAAATATTTGAACTCTGTTTTCTCATCGTAAGCATGTGTGTCCACAAGTACAATTCTGATTATATTTTGCAGTTTTAAAAGGAAATCATCACCGCAATAGAATATCAATATATATATGACTGCAAGGTTTTTCCCATTCTCAAATAAGTGACAATAAATTTTAGTGTAGGAGCATAGCGAAGTGTTAAAAGATTATTTATGTATCAAAATACATCTGCAATCAAGGGTAACGCTCAAGATTAGACATTGAAGTAAGTTATTGAACATACAAAAAGCCAATTAGTGCAGTGTATATGTCAACGATACCACATTTTGGTCATTAATAATATAACAAGAACGAACTTCAGGATTCCTTGTCATACAAAACAAATACCACATTTTGGTCGGTAACCCTAAAGTTCAATTAGTCATCCATCAGGTATCATTCAAAACCTAATAGATATAGCATATTGGTGTTTAACAACTAAAAGGAGAATGGTGAACTACTTTTCACTGTAAATTACTCTTACCGCCTAGAAATATTTTCCTAAATTCACTTGTATTAGCTAACTTTAAAATCCTACACTTAACACATCAAGTTTCAAAACATTACTAACATGTCTGGATTTGCTTAAAATATAGGAAGATATTGATTTTTCCTTTTTCTAAATCTCTCTCAATAATGTGTCTATTATAAGTGATTTTGAAAACAAAATAAGCTAATCCGAACATGAGGTATTCTTGCTTGATTACTCAAAAACACTGAAGAGCTAAAAACTTTGCCAAAACCTGAAAACAATACCTGCTAAAAAGATTTGCAATCTCTTCACATTCACGGGCATTATAGAACCAAATACCATTCACTTCTTGAGCAGCATTTCTATACAATAGATATGGAACCTGAACTTCATACTCGAAATCCCCCAGGAGGTTTTCCACCAAATTTTCTGCTTATGTCAACATGGACAAGGATTAAATACATGCATGGACACTATCAATGCCCATCACCAAAGTATCTATTTTCATCCTTAAAACAATATCTAAAAGACATATTCACAAATTTTGCATTCACAAATCACAACACTCTAAATAAAAGTGTCAGCAATAGATGATTGCAAAAAATATCAAAACGTTGAAAAACTGCTATGTGAAATAGCAGATAGCGTTGCGGGAAAATACTGGAAGCCGCACAGTGGTTGAAACAAGTCAATTATAAATAAAAAGGCAAGCTGCATGCAAATAAGAAAGGGAATAGAGGCAATGCATAGTTTATTATTGAAAAGTTAGGGTGAATATTTAGGTTTTCAATTTTAAAAATAGGTTGTGTTTGGAACTCAACTCGTAATATTATATTTTTTCCGCCATTGGCGCCACATCTGCTAGCAAAAACTAGCCACTCTTGCCCTAATAGTGAAACTAGTATAGCGTCACAGTTTTTATAGCTGAGTCATCAAAGCCTGCCATGCTAAAGCGCTATAGTACCGTTTTTAGACAACAGTTCTAAATATTGAATGCAAGATGCAGAAAGGGGAAAGCTGATAGCCAAACATAAATCCAATCCTACAATTTTATTACAAAATAATACCTAGCTACCAACAAAAAAATGCATTATTACCTAACACTCGCTAATATAGAGGAATGACTGTTGCGATTTTACAACAATAACTACACTCTTAAACATTCCAAGGCCAAAACCTAACTCAAAAAACTATACTTGAATACCAACTTCCAACAACCAAGGCAACAAACTGAAACTGAAATCTATGCAGTCAGTCAGCCACCATATTAACATAAAATGTAAAAGAATACAATTCAAGAATTACCGATTTAACCATAGGGTTTTGATCTCACTTCCTATAGACCAATTCACAAAATAATCCAAATGGAAACACATGTTTGGAAGCAAATCCATTTTATAAAAGGATTACAGTAATGAAAAGCAGATAGACTCACTCACCAGTATTGCGACGGTTCATCACAATAAACTGAAATCGAGGTTGCATGTTTCTGAAATTAAAAACAGAAAAAACACAATTAATTAACCTCAGTCGAAAAAAAACACTTGGATCACGATACTCATCAAGTGCGTAAAAAAAAACAACTAAAATTTGAACCTTTTAACAACGAAGAGGGATCCTTCAACATCCTTGCGACTCTGCAAATCAATGAAAGAGAATGATGAGAGAGAAACTAAGTAGAAAGAGAAAACGTATATAAAAAAAAAGGAGAAATTGCGAACCCATTGGCTGAGATCGATGTTAAACTCATAGAAGGTAACATGAGCAGCGGTGATGAGAATCTCCTCAACGAAAGGGTCAATTCGTTGAAGAACGGTAAGATTAAGAAGCTTGGTGCTTTGTTGGTCTAGATTTGGCATCAATTTACCGTTCTGAGACATTATTGCGATTCTAAAAAACCCTAGAAATTTGGGGTTAGGGTTAGGTTCCTTCTCTCTCTCAGAGACACAGAGAACAGAGAAGGGTGAGACGCAATGGAATGCAGGTGAACCGTGTTTGAGTATAACTCAGCTTGTTCGTGAAGAAAACATTTATGAAATTACGGAAATAACCTTCCAACTAATTTATTTATTTTAGTTTTAGTTTGTACTTGTAGTCATATGATGATTAACGAACAGGTCTATTTTGGTGTCTTAGGTTAATTTTCTTACACGGAACATATCACAACAACAACTTCTGTTTAGGATTTTAGCAAACACTAACCTTTCACAACAACAACTTCTGTTTAGGATTTTATCAAACACTAACTTTTTATTTATTAAGGTTTTTTATTAAGCAAAACACATATGTTCACTTTTAATTTTAGAAATGAAACCCACATAAAATACTATAATTTAATGTATTTTATCTTAAAACATAAAATACTATAATTTAATGTATTTTATCTTTAAAAAATTAAATATTAGACAAAGAACTAACTTTTCTCTTTTATAAATACTTAAGATTAAATAAAATATCACCAAAAAAAAGGCAAAACATTTTTTTTTATCTTTTATCTTTATTTTGGAGTCTATTTTGATCTCTTAATTTATAAAAATATCAATGAAATCTCTTATCTTTTCAGATAAGATCATTTAGTGGAAGACCATCATGGTTGTTTAAAATTCAAATATATATTAAAACTCTCTAAAAAAAATTACTCCCTCCATCTCAAAATAAGTGTCAAGGAAAAAAATTATCCTAAAATAATTGTCATTTTAGATTGTCAATACAATTTTATATTTAATATTTCAATTGTATCATCTAATAAATATTCTTAATTTATTTTTTTCCTCACTTAACATTAATGCTAATTTGAATACACCAATAGTTAATCAGAATAATTTGTTAAAGTCACTATTCTCTCTTTCATTTATTATTGTTTCGTAATCGATATGAAATGATCAATTGTGACAAATAATATGAGACAGAGAGAGTATCAATTAAAACTCTCTCTCCTTCATCACGTCTTCTCTCTTTTTCGTATCTCCTTTCTAATTTCTAGAAGAAAAAAAAAAGCACAACAACAACTTCACGAAACAAAATAAAATTCAAACTCAATCTAGATCATTCCACACAAATCAAAATGGATCATGGTATTTAGTTTCAAAATAACAATAGGAAAATAGCTTGAAGCTTCAAGAACAACAACAAAACCTAACTTTACATTTTTTCTGTTTGTGAATTATAAGCAATTAGGATTTTCAATCATGGGGAAAACATTGTACAAAGAGCCAAGATTCGAGAAACATAACCATTTTGCCAGAACCAATACGAGCCATGGTAACGACATCGAAACCAAAGAGGATTAGCGGCATTGTCTTCCTCTGAATTGGAGTCGGCATTTTGTAACCTTTACGTCTGACTCCTCTAAACACATTGGGATTCAAACCTATGATTTTAAAATCTCCTTGAGTTTTATTATTCTTATTTTTCTTCGAACCTAACATGAAGCCTCCCATTTTCCGATACGGCGTGAATAACTTTTTCTTCAACAGCAATGACAAAAGGAATTGATAAAGAATTTACAGACAAGGATGTGTATGTTATGTTATGCTATATGTTTCCCCGTGAAGAAAAGTTTCAGATCGAAACCGGATCTGTAATTTCCATGTTTCAGCGACTTCAACCACTTTCTGGTGAGAAATGAAAACAAAGGATTCCTCATGATGATTATTTGTGTACCAGTTATGAAACATATGAACATATAAGTTGAATATGAAAAATCATATAAGATAGAGGTTTGTTTATGCAGGTGGGTGGAATTATACAGAACTGTAAGAGAAGAATTGAGAAAGTACATCAACTATTTAATGTTTTGTTTGTTCATCTTTTATAAATAATTTAGACTTCAATTATATTTAATGTGTAAATCTATTATCTATCTATTAAAAGTAAAGTACCTGGAAATTCCAAGTCTAACCTTTTGATTAGATGTTATAACTTTTCTTATTCCAAGGGTATATTTGTAACTTTCTGAAATACTCGCACCATATTGATTTGACAATAAATATGGCTGATGTGTCACACTATGGTTTTTTCTGCCACTTTTTATTTTTTTTAATTATTTCTAACTAACAACAATTATGCCATTTTGTTTATATTTACACGTTATAATCACACCTAATTATGTGCTACATACCACTTCCCAAAACCCTCATCCAAACCAAAGGTCATTCAATTTGAAATTTAAATTAAAACACTCATATTATAGCTGCTACGTACACTGGGTTTTGAAATTCTAATTATTCCACTAAACCTTAATCACGTTTTTTGTTGCAAGATTTAAATTGGCAGCACAAGATGAACAACCATCATAAATAAATGTTGAGTTCTTGAAACGGTAAATCTATACAACCAAAGAAATCGTTTTCCCCAAGATGCAACAAATAACTCATTCACCCAACTCTATTAAAACACAAATCAGAAAACCTAATTTCATCTTCTTCCTGCGCCGCTCCATCTCTTTTCATTCTTCTCTCTTTGTTGCTACCAATTTTGTTTCGTTGTAATCTCAACCATCTAATATTCTCATCCTAACCTGTTAATTTATTTGTTTCAGACGTTCAAGCGTAAGAATGGTGGTCGCAACCAAGACCTCTGAATCTCAACAACATCAATAACCAACAACACCCGTTATAGATCTATAAAAGAATTTCCTTCAAATGCAATTTTTAACGTTAATTTGATTCATACATATGTAAGTGACGAAGGTGAGTGATTGAAACATGTGATTGAAAGTTGAAACTGAAATGTAGTTTGGAATATCATATTTTATGTTGTGTTCTTTTCGTTTTCAGGGTTGTCTTACTATTTCTCCTTTTCCAAAAAAAAAAAAGCTTAACTTGACACCTAAAATGGGATATCTTTATCTTTAGGTTTGAGAGTTGCATAAGGGGATTTTTGAGCTTGCATGTGACGAACAACACAACCATGATATTGTTTATTTTTTGCTGTTAGGTATGTTTTTTTATTCAGATTTTATTTCTCAATTTTTTTAATTAAAATATGAGGTTGAGTTTTGACTTTTTTTATTTGTTTAGTCTTGGTGAATACAAAGCTCACACATATATATTTACGATTGATTCTCCAAATAGATAGAAGCTTATTTCTTTTGCTTCCTCTTTCAATTTATTATTAATCTATTTAAATTTCAATTTCTCCCATCACATGTTTGATAAAAGAAGGCAGTATATTCTCATCAATTTTGTTGTTTATTTTGCTTACTATTATATTTATTTGTATCTAATTGAGATTTTTGTATTTATTTTCTTGATTTAATCGGTTCTTCTTTTGGAATATGTATGGATATGGAGGCTGATAATTGATTTCACACTTGAATCAGTAGGGGACCAATCAACAAATTGAATAACGGATTGTTTCACAGTTTAATTTTTATACATTGATACGTAAAATGAAATTATGCTGATTGCGATTTGATTTTGTCATGTGAAAACAGGTTTAATATAGTCACAATCTGTCTTAACAAGGAATTAACAAACTTTACCTCATGATCGATTCAAGCATTTGTTTTTGAGGTTGAAGATAGAGAGAGGATTAGTGGTTCGGCTTATGGGGGTCAACAGGACATCTGTTGCACCAATGATCTTCCTAAACTCACTGTGTGCAATGATGGACAGGGCTGTCACCGGCCTTCTCCCATGAATTCAAATTGGCCTGAAGTTTATGGCGTGGCTTTTTATCATGCCCAAGAAATAAACAGTTTGTTTTTAGTTTTAATGCTTTATAATATTATTGTTTGCAGAGTTGTCTTAGCATTTTAAGTGCAAATATTCACCATGGGCATGGCTGAGTGACCATTTGCTTCTCTAATTTCACAAACAAAAATATTGCTAAAGAAGAATTGGAGACTGCCACAACAGAACCAGAGACCACTATTTTAAATCTACTTAATCGAGTCGATTTTCACATGTGATTCATCATCAAAGCCAAGTGTTAACTTATGTTTTCATTCAAGTCATTTGATAGTTAACCTTATAATAGTAAATATATATTCAATATGGTGCAGATGATTTGATTTCCCGAGCATTTGATTTCCATCTACAGCCGTAATTGAAGATTAGGAAATTGAAACCATTGAATTTTATGCTTCCACAAGGAATATCAATGGCTTTCATTGGCAGGTACTGATTATATACTAATTGTATTTTCTGACCGATAGCAAATGCAAATGTCTCATTGCAATGTTTGGAGGAACTGTTTTTGGAAGAGGAACGAGATTTTGATGAACATGAGGATAGTCAAAGGGATGAGACTCTTATTCACCCGAACTTCTAAAGTAATATGTTTTTAAGGGTTCAAGAGTAGTGGGTGTTGCTGAAGTTCACTACCAATTTCAGAAGAACCATAATAGAAGAATGTTTTTAACAAGATTTGATTCAAATTATGTATATGTATATTATTATTGCTTTCATATTTTGTATGTCATATCAACATTGGTTTTGGCATAATATATTTTTCTACTGCAAATTATGTTGGCCTATGTTTTAATGGAATTTATTTTACACCAAATTTTCTTTTGAATGTAGCATTGCCTCTAGCAAACACACTTCTCTAAGTTTCGTTCAATTAACATATTTACCATCTTTTTTAAATAGAATTTCTCTTCTCCTAAAGAGAAGATAATAACTTACAAGTTGGTGTTGATGTGCCTTCAAAATTCTAATTTATTTTGAATCGAAATTATAATTCTCATTTGTCGTGAAATTTGAATAAATTTTTTATTTTATATTGGTATTTTTTTTATTTTTAATTGTTATAATTTTAGAAACAGATATTATAATTTTTAATAAAATATTTATGATTTATTTTTTTAAAGTACGACTAATTAATATATTTTTATACAATATTAAAAACAAATATTACAATTTTTTAATCAAAT